CCCTAATTTTTTCATTAGTTGACATATTATGTTATTATTAATAATATGAATTATTAACTTTGCCTTTTCTTACTTACATTTGTAAAAAGTTTATTCTTACTTATTTTGTTGATTTTATATTCTTTACTTAACGTATACGTTTATATAAAATATTGGTGAGTAGATCCGCGTGATCTCTCCTTGGATTATATAATATATACTTATGAAACTTGTAAAAATTTGATTGTTAATGCTTGTTTGAATTTTTTATTATTATAGACTGTTAATGCTTGTTTGAATTTATTTAAGGTAATGCTTGTTTGAATTTATTTAAGGAATTTATTTAAGGAATTTATTTTACCAACAAATGTAAAATTAAAAAAAAAATTTAAAAAAAAAAAATGATCAAAGGTATTTTCTAAATCTGTGAAAAGTATTTTGAAAATATTCAAACAATTTAGTTATACCTGAAAATTTGATAATTTCACGTTCTATTAATTTTTTTGAACCCATATTAGTTGTTATATATTAAATTAATATTAGATAGTTAACGACCCAAGCAGCCAGTATCATTGGGCTAACCGTTTTTTACGTTAGCTGGCCAAACTGAATGGAATTTGCAGCTGAATCAGCCACATCTTTTGCTAATTGACGCAATTCAATTAAACTTGCAATTGGGCCTACCGCATTTTGCGTTAATGGGCCCGATACAAATAACGTATATAGTTTGTGTGGCGGCTGTATTGCCAATATTTTTAGATATTTTACTTTATCTAGAGAGGATTAAAGGACAGAACTAATTTTTTTTGACAACTGTTTAAATATTTTTAATTTCAAAAAGATTTTTTTAAAGATTTTTGTGTGAATAAAAATCTTAAAAAGTTCTTTTCTTAACAAAAACATTCTAGGGTGGCCCAAATTTTAAAATTTACCTTTTTCAAAATTCAATGTGCTAAGGTTTTCTATCCATTACACACCATACAAAAAAGTCCCCCTAAAAAGTATTTTACGTTTCTGTTGGAAACAGCTAAAATCTGAGTTTTAATAAAAAAATGAATTTTTGTAATGGAATATTTTCAACTTTATTACAAAGGAAACATAATCTTAAACTGTTTGGTTAAAAATGTATTCTTTAACAAAGATGCATCTAAAAAAAATTCACTTGATTACAATTAATTTCTAAAATCTCTGCATTTGGATAACATGAGTTCAGACTGTGCCATGTTTTTGGTTAACAGAGGTCAGATTGTGGCAAGTTTTTGGAGCTCTCGAAAAACCAACAATATATTTTGGCGTTGATTTTCACTGTATGATGTGTCAATAAATTCTTGGATAAGAATAATATTTTTCTCTGCACAATCATTAGTGACATTTAACCCTCTAGGTAATAACTATCCATACAAGCCTGCTTTAAATTTAATACATCTGTTTAAAAAGTTGCGCAGTTTGTTTTTTAAAATAGCTTTTTATAAAATACATATTTTATATCTTAGCAATATGATGCCGACACAAGAGAACTGGTTGTCCCAAAACTCTGACTAGGGTTATTATTGCTCCTGATTTCTTTCATGTATTTTAAACTGTTGTGTCAGTACACGCAGCTATGATATTTCAAAATATTCTAAGAGATTCTGGAGTACATTAGCCTTTTGAATGTTCACCGGAACAACCCCAAGAAGTAAATAATTGTTTAATGAAAACTCAGAACTTGTAACTGATACTAATAATTTATTAACAAAACTCTTTCCCTACAATCTTTTATGTCCTTTAAGATTTTTTAATCAAATACACTCATTACGGATTTTTTTAATCAAACTGAAGCATACACTCATGACGAATTTTACAAAATTATCAGATTTTAGTTTAGGTTATTTTAATGATCAATAATTTAAAATATTTGTAACAATCCGTAAGAAATTTATAGAATTTTGAAAAATCATGTATGTTCGCTATGTTTATATTATCAACGAAGATATGCTGCATCAGGTACCCCTATACTAACAGTCTTAAGATACACTGGCACATCTGAAACGTAAGTACCATACTTTAGGAACATAATAGAATATTAGAATCATATGTGAAGAGAGTTTATTTGCAGTTATTGTTCAAAAACTCTCTTTTAACTGATTTAAATGCTCATCAAGTAAATTTTTAAACATGTTGACCGAAGTTGCGTCAATTACTATTTGCAGCAGGGTATTCCACTGCAACACAAGTCGGTTTGTGAAGAATTTCTCTCTAGGTATGCAATTCAGTACTCTTTACTAAGCAAGTCGTTGATTATTATCACGCATAATATACTTTGACAACAAAAGACAATTGAATGGTACGCGAAAGTTTATTTCATTGATTTCACGAAGGAATTTGAATATCAGAATTAATTCATCTCGTAAAACAAAACCTCAAGTATTGTAAGACCTAACATGACTCTTCGCTGCTCAGCGGTGCAATTCTTAATCTCAAAAATGGTTTTTGTAGTACGGTTTTGAACTTTTTCTAGCGCTTCTATGTCTGCTCGTTGGCACGGTGACTAAGCTTAGCGTACTCATGGTGAGGGCGAACATACGTAGTGTACAGTTCTTTTCACAGTGAAAAACTACGGTTTGGAAAATTTTTTTTAGCCTCCCTAAGGAGCGGTTAGTGTTTACCACAGCTGCTGAAACTTGAGCATTAAGTTTAAGGTCATCCGAGATAAGAACTCGAAGATCTCTCTAAATGAGTAACTTTGATTGCAAGTAGCTGGCCATCTGGTCCTGGCATGAAATAGTCTCGTTTTGATTTGATTTCCCAGCCAGTATGCATGACTTTATACTTTTCAAGGTTGAAGGTAATGAGCCAGCAATGTGACCATTCAATGGCTTTGTTTAAGTCTGCTTGTAGACTCTCCGCGTCCCGGTCGGATTTTATGACACCAATAATTTTGCTGTCAACAGCTATCAAACGCTTGAGGTTTAACTCGAAATGCTGTTAGTCGTTTTATAAAAAATAGTGGTAATAATATACCCTTCAAGCCACCTACAGTAATAAAAAGGAAAGAAACGCATAAAATTAAATATTCTATAAATACAAACATCGAACAGACAATATTTAATTCCATGCACTTATAACTTTGCAAACATGCACTTATAACCTTATTGCAAAAACCTGTAATTAAGCCATTAGCAACACAGTATTCCATTGAGCTTGTTTGAAAATACTTTTCATCATTTTGCATGGAATGGATGTGAGCAATATAGGCCGGTAATGTGGTGCATTTAATTTATTCCCCTTTTTGAAAATAGGCGTTGTTTTTGATTTTATCTGCAAGTCGGGAACTAGTCGCAAACGAACACAAAGAATTTGTAGATAAGGGAAAGAGATTTGCCAAGGGTAGCTGCACATTTACTAAGGATCCGTGGATGTAAGCCGTCGTAACCAGTTGACTTTCTTTCATCAAGGTAGTTGACGAAAGAAAGTCATTGAGGCACTTTTGTATCATATCGATAAAACAAAACCTGCTGGGTCGACGACACAAATTACTTCAGTACGACTTTCAAAAGCTGGCAATGGACCTTCGGGCTTCAAAACAAAAACCGATTGAAAATAGTTATTCAACAATGAGCATATATCCTCGGTATTGGTAGTGATGTTGCTACTACCTGTTTCTAGCAAGGTAATAGCGTTCCTGACGCTTTGTTTGCCTCGTACATGTGACGTAAGCGTTTAGGAATGCTTTCGGACTCCATGGCGAGTTTTTCTTCGTAGTTGTGTCTAGCAGATTTTACCATTTTAGTAACGTTTTTGCATGCGGTGCGATGTGATTCTTTGCTTATTGTGCATATCGTATAGTCTTAATAAGATCTGGTGTTACCCATTGCGCCTGTTTCTCAGTGAAGGGATTAGTTGTTGATAGATGTAGTTTGATGGCTTCCTTATATATGTTTACTAGGAACTGGTAGTTATCCGTTCGCATTTAGATCAGTGAATTCTGTTTCCCAATTAACAGTTGCGATATGCACGGATATCGCTGCGTAGTTTGCTCAGCTTCTAAAAAATCGAGGTTTTAGCATCAAGTGAGTTGTCAAGGCCTTCGAAAAAAACAGCGAGTTGATCTTCAATGAAGCAGTGCGTCTGACCCAAAGTCGCCGAGAGAGCCACCTTGTTCGTTGAAATTAGCACGGTTCGGCTCATTTGTTATGATCAGATCAAATGTGCTAGTGGGCTCTACGTATCGACTATTACGGTACGTTGGGAATGTGACAAGCTGAGTTAGGTGACATTCATCGATATCGTCTTTTGCGTAAATGTATCTGATAACAAAACTAATAGCAGGCGATTGCCTGCGAAGTATAGACTTAATTGAGTTTCAAGGAGATAGAAATGTCTTCTTGTGTTGTACTTGATCAGTATTACAGCTCCTTTTTTTAACTTTTGTAGTAAACAGTAGTAAGATGGGCGGGTTTTGGATTGGTGGGAGTTGGTAGGACTGGCCAATATGATTATGAATAGAATATTGATTAAAAATAAACAAAAGCGTTTTTATTGCACATCAACAGTATTGATGTGTACACTTGAACAGGAATTGGTTTAATAATGCAATCTAGAGAAATATGTGAAACTGATTTTTAACATTATAATAAATATATCTATGTTTGAAATTATCTAGCAAAATATCTTAAACATGTTTATAAAACAAAACTGCTAATTCCTTTAAAAAATAGATTTTTACTTGCAACTGTTACAAGCATCCAGAACATTTAAAATTTTGGATAGAAACTCATATTAGTGAAATCCATAGCACACCTTTGCATTAATTTTTTATTGTTACTCTTTTGGCTCATCCTAATAGATACCTTCGCAACTCAAGGAACGTTTAGTTCAACACAAAACTTGATTTTCAAAAATGTCTGATCAATTTAAATAATTTTATAAACACCATATCGTATAACTTTCGTTTAAAACATAATATTAAATAAATATAAATCGTATAATTATTGTTAGAACGCTGACTGTTTACACGAAACAAATAAAATGCAACAAAATCAAAGTTCTGATGGGCTAATATTAGTAAATAATTTTCTCGTGTCTACCCACAATAAAGATTCCAATACAAAATAATAAATTTTTACAACTTTTTCTACATGTTGGTAAAAAAACTGACTTACTATCGTTGCATCTTTAAAACGACTTTATCGTAAACGATTATATAAGCTTTATTGCTTGATTTTATGTAAATAAAAGCCTCAGCACAACATGATAACTTTAATTTGATTGTAAAAAAACTGCATTAACTTTATTGAATGCCAACAAATTGTTTTGATTTCATCAAATAGTTGATCGCCTTTATTTCGAAAAAATGCTTTGATCGAAAAAAAAAATTTCACATTCTAATTAATTTCTTAGTTTTTAGCACAACAAAGTCTCTATCGAACACGATAGAGTACTTTTCTTTGAAATCGGTGTTCCAACTCTCCACGTCTCAGCATAATATGAATGACAGTCGAAACTGCTTTCTCGTTATATTTCTATCAATATATTTAAAATCTTTATTATTA